TCCGTCACTGGAGCTACACCAACCCTATCCAACCCTATCACGTTTCGCATTTTATCTCTAAGTGTAAAGTCACTCATCCACCTAATCATTCTCATCTCGTCAACACTTAACTTAGTATTATTCTTCTCTTTTAAAGGCCAACATTCTGCACCATAGGACATTGCAGGTCTCACCACCATCTTATAAAATTTTCCTTTCAGTCTAAGCGGTACTTTTTCTATCACACAAAAGGCCCGAAGCATTCCTACACTTCAACCAACCAACTTGAATTCTACTAATAACATTCACATCTATACCACCATTGCTTTGAACAATTGACCTGAGAGATCTGAATCGTTCACACCTTCTAATAATTTGATCACCCAAAGATACACTTCTGTCACTAGGGCTACTACTAAAATTACATTCCATGTATACAGTTTTATTTCTAGTCAAACGAAAGCCATTAGACTCCAACGTAGACCTCTATAATTCAAGTTTTTCCTGGGCTTTTTCTCTCGTCTTATCCAGGAGAAGGATATCAACAACAAAAGGCATATACCAAGATACATTCTCCTGTAATGTCCAGTAAGACCATCCATAACTAAAGCAAAAAGATATGGACTTGAAGCTGATCCCTGATGTAACCCAACAGAAATAGGAAAATATTTAGTCAATCCTCCTCCTGTTCAAACACAAGTAACAACTCTCGTATACATATCTTTAATGACTTGAATATAAGTCATATCAACACCTTTCTTCTCAAGAACTTTCCAAAGGATATCTCTTAGAACCTGCTTTTAATAACTAAAAAAAATCCAAAAAGCACAGAGTTGGCCACAAATCTAGAGTCCCTTTCCTACTAGATACAAATACAAGTATCAAACCATCAACTTTTAGATCTGCAGCACTACTCTCCATAATCACAACAAATCTGCAGCCACTGAATAACCAAATATCAAACCACCAACATCTCCGCTGCAACCTCATCTAGAATCACAAAAAATTGCAAGCAACAAACCACCCAAAACTACAATATGCAGGGGGAGATCACCTACATATATCCAGCAACAACTAAAAGCCGACTACCGGTACAAAAACTATATTTCCAACGAATTCACAAATACAGATCGATTAACAACAAAACTTCAAATGACCATCGAGTGCAGAACAATATTTTCAAAAGAACTGCCAGAGAATCCAACCCATTCTCATAGTGGGGAACATCATAGACACATTTTAATTTAAAAAAGCACGAAAAACAAATCCGACTAAATGATAAACACCATCACTACTAAAATGGCAATCAATCCTTCTGTTCATTCATCTTAATGCACACATCTTATGTTTTTAACAATTGTCGACTTAAAAATCTATAAATTTTTTCAAGCATGAACACATCCGCACAGCCAAAGTATTATGTTAATATTCATCTAAGTATATATATAGAAATAACTGTTGCCTATAGAATATATAATATCATCACAAAAAGCCTGCTATGCCATTGATACCCACCATCAGTAAATAAAGCTTCAGCATTTAACATAGCACTTGGCATTACATTTATGAATATCAAGAAAAGAACTAGATGTGCATCCTAAGTGAGGGGACAGAAAAAAAATTGAATCGAATCAGAAGTATGGGTGATAGGTGATCGTCATGGAATAAAGCAAATCAGATTTATCTGTTAAAAACTAGACTAATACTACAATTTTAAAAATTTTATATCTTAAAAGCCTTCATCTCAATATGCGTAACCTCAATCAAATTTTATTTTTCTAGCAATTTATTTCATAAGAATTCTTGTAAAAAACTCTTTATAATTTAGATGAACTAATATTTAATTACTTTATTCAAATTTCACTTATTTCTAACTAACATCTATAGTAACTTTCCTGGTATGATGCATGCAATAATAATGCAGAAGTATTTATATCCTTCCCAAAGTATACCCTATAACAAGTTCTAAGATAGGATCATGATAAAAACTGATAACTAATATTTATCATATTCCACAATTTTCTATAAATAACTAGCAAATCATACTAATATGATGTGTTGTTTAACATAAATACAAACAACCTCTTAAACAAAAAAAAAACAAAAAAAAAAAACAAAAAATTAATGCAATACAAGATTAGTACTGAAGAATTATGATTTTTTTTTATTACAACCAATTAGATGAAAATTTAAATGTGTTTTGTTAAAGTCAAATATAATGTACATGTTAACAGGAACTTTACTTTCTCCATAAAATTCTTTTTATAAACTTTTAAATCAAGAATGCCAAAAAAATTAAATCAATAGCAATTCAATTCAT